TTCTTATCTTCCACTTCTACTTTTTTTTTTTCCCCATTGAGAACAAATAAAGTAATTAGAAGTTTTCTTCAGGCATAGGGAGGAGCAGAGGCAAAGTATGTAATAAGTTTTGTCTGAACTGTTTTCCTTTCGTAATGCATGCCCTAAAGCTGTGTGCTTAGCTGGGTTCAGTGTAATTGTTCCTATCACCGCAAAGCCTTTGGGACCTGCCCGAAACAGAGCAGGCGGGAAGCACCAGCACCTGCATCGTGCCCCTTCCCTAGCTGTGCCCTGTACAGTAAGAGCCTTCTTCCATAGCCAGCCATTTCTTAATCGAGCAAATGAAGCTTAGAGTCTGATTCTGAGGATCCTTAGTTTAAACCTTTCTGACAGCCTGCATAGGTGAAAATAGTGTGTGAACATGTCATTAAACACACTGTAATAATGCAGATACACAATTAACTTTGCACAAAGGAAGTTTACTCAACATTCCCTGGTTTTTACGCTGACAGACTTTACCTTTCTTTGATACAAGCTTGAAGAAGTTATCACAAGGAGGGCAATTATAGGATCCTGTTTTCACCTGCATGTTTTGCCAGACTATGACCATTTTGCCTTAAAATATTGTTGCCCTGCCAGCTTGCTGTAGGCTACAGGAAGTTTTGTGTTTATCCACATGCTGGAATATTTTAGTGGAAACCTTCAACTATTTAAAAGAGTAAATGAAAATACCCAATTTTATGTCTAGCATTTCTGCCAGGGATGTGGTTTTGCTGTCCTGTGAAAATGCTTCCCTGTTTGGCGCAGGCGCAGTCAGTACCGCGCATTCAGCTTGACGCTTTTCCAGGGATGTACCTGCTTTGGGGAGCAGGAGGGGAGCTGGCGCCTGTGCCCAGGAAGAGAGGGGCAGGGGCAGGAAGGGGGGACGGAAAGCAGTGCCAGCAGGAGCAGAAAGAAGGGCAGATCAAGAACAACTGGTGAGACGAGGAGGAGGACAAAATAGGGCATGAAGAGGGCAAGGGTCTGAGGCAAGGAAGGGTGTCCTGGCACTGAATTTGGACCTAGGCATGGGAGCAGGGAATGGAATATGGGTATAAAGGGGCAAGAGAACCCCAGGACTGGCAGGAGCAGGGATAGAGAGCTCGGAAGCAGAAAGCTGAGACTGGCTGGGGCAGAGGCTGGGGAGTGCAGATAACCGGAGAAGGGACGTTTTTGTCATGAAGACCAGTTGCAGGACGGGAGGCCTGGGCAATGAGGACTGGGATTGCCGATGTGAGCAAAATCAGCCTGATTCTTATCAGACTGATAAGAGAAAGAGAGATTGAAAGGGATGGAGGTCACAGCCTGAGAAACCGCAGAGAAGTCTGTCCCCCAGAAAACATTTTATCCTAAACTGGGACTTTAAATGTGATTGTTTCTCCGCGGTCAGCAAATATCTGTGCAAATGTCTGATCGTTCTGTAATGCTGTTGTTCAGAAAGGATCACAGCCTATTCATGCTATCACTTACTGCCTTAGTTCAAGTGACCGCAATGTCCCTATTGGTGCCAAAAATAGAGGCCTGTTGTTTAACCTGTGGATGTCTGTATAATGCCGTGCAACGAATTTCCAGTTTGTTTGCAGTTTAAAATTTAGAGTATTTTTTTAAACGGTGTTAAAATATTTAATAGAATTGATATGTGCAGCCCTGTTTGTATGTTTAAGCTGCACGCAGAAAATATGTGGAATGTTATTCTGAAATGCCTATTCAGGCTTTATTCAGAGGTAGAGTGTGTCTGTGCTATGATTCAGATCTTAATGGCAGGATAATACTCAGTTGTTTTCAGAGGACCCTAGTGGTGTTTATTGTTCAGAATACATCTGATCTGAGGATGAATGTGGCATACGCTGTGAAATATGCTTACTGGAGAACCAGCAATTTGTTGTAATGTTTGAAAATTGGGGTTGTAGAGAGGGCAAGGATTGCAGGAGGGATGGTCTCGTAATTAAGACGATTGAAGGATATCGTGGAAGGCGTGATGTGTCTCTGCCTATACCACTGAGCTTCTGTCTGATCATGTCACTTCAACCCAGCACTTTTATTTCTCTACTTTTATTTTGTGTCTCTCGCTTTCTGAGTGCCTGACTTGGGGTTCTTGAAGAAATACTAAGCACTCACAGCTGCAAATGAAGTTAGCATTCAATCTTGTGAAATGCTGTACAATGCTAAACATTCTGCAAAAGCAAGTCCTAAATGCCTCAGATCGTGTTTCTGAAATTAGTAGATACCTTTTTCCATGTGTTTTATGTGCCTCAATTCCCTCTCCCTAAAATGGAGGTACCTTTCCTGCCTTATCTCAAGAGAATATTAGGAAAATAACACAGTTGGTATTTGTGAAGCATTCAAGTGCTATATACTGACATGTGCTATTGAAAAGCCATTCTGTCTTCAGAACAAGGTTTGAATAGTGTACAATAAATACGTCAGAAAAGTTCAGAGTAAACAGTGACAAGAAAACAAAATACTGAATAGCCAGTCACGAAATGAGCAGTGTGCATCCTCTTCACTGAGTAAGATGGGGGAAGAAGAGTATACACGTGTGCAATGAAACACTGTATCATAACAAATACATCTGTAAAAGCCTAATTCAGTCCCACCGTCCAATCTGAGGATCTTTAATTGTTACTTTTCCTATCTGAGTCTTTGCAAATTTATAAATATTCCATTTTCTGTTTATAATATATATTAGCAAACTAACTCAGCATTGACTAAGAGGCTGTGTAAACATCAAAGATTTTTTTTCTTTTGACCACACTTTAAGTCTGGGACAGTGTGGCAGGGTTTACAATTCTTCCCTATCTGTGGTATTAGTTAGTCCCTGCCTAAGATGAGTTTGCTGAGTCTCGGTTCTGTTTGCTCTTCGTCACCTTGCTCTGAATCTGTTTGGCAGACTTGGCAAAAGGGTCAATAGTCACAGGAGGAAGACAGCGGTACTACATTTCCCCTAGAGGAAGATGCCTCTCCCACTGCGCGGTGAGGGCGGAGAGATGCTAACAGTGAGTGGGAGAAGGTTGGATTAGTTCTCTTGTCTCTCCGCCTCCCACATACCAGATAGCCTGTACCCTGCTAGCAGAGTACTGTAGACTTTTTGGGAAAGAAAATGTGACTGAAAGATCTGCCAAGTGCTCCCCTGCGCTCCCCATCTTTCCCTCATCCTTCATTTTCCAGTGGTTACAGCCCCCCTCATACAACCCAAGCCAAGTTGTACATTGGCTCTTGCCTAGCAAATGTTTTTCTCAGGAGGAAAACAGGATAGGCACATGCCCTAGTTTGTATTGTGTTGATGTAGAGATGAGGCATCATGGACCACAGTTCACATCCACAGCCATGCCTGACCTTCTTAGGAATAAGGGAAGAACTGTACATGAAAGATACCATACCATAGCACTGATTTTAATGTGGTGAAATGTCAGAGCTGCATAGTTACTAAACAGTATATACGGGGGGTGGTTTTTGATACATAGATCATGCTTCATAGGCAAAGCACTATAAATAAATGCAGACATTTCTCCTATTTCAACACTGAGGTATGTCATCTCACCTACTTTCCTACTCCACATGCATTACTTTACGCATTTTCTTCCCTTGGAGAAGACAACAACCCAGCACACGTTCCTCTCCCCGCGTTGCCCACAGCCGGGAGCGGCAGGTGGTAGGAAGCGCTTTGGAGCACCTCTCAAGTTATGTCTAATTGCACAATCTCAAAGCCAGAAATGAACTGAACAGTCAGCCCATTGTAAATACAGATATTTCTTCTGCTTTTTAACTGAATTCTTATCCCGTGAAAGTTACAAAGGTATTGAATAAAAGGCAGCTGTATTTACGTGTTGTGATAAAAGCAAAACCATAGCAAGAGGAGAGAATAAGGATAGTCCACACAGCCTCCTAATACAGTTTTGCAGCCAGTACTGTTATCCTGTTCCCTTCAGATGCGTGTGCATTTTAGGAGAGCCACACAGTTTAGCCTTTGCCTACTAAATCTTTCAAGAAATATGCTCCTTCCATGATGCCAGTTTCATAAATTATTGCACTGTGTAGAAGACGCTCAACTGGCTCATCTGACCAGTTTTCAGTCCTTCACTGTGTCCAAAAGCAAGCCAGTAATTAACCAAGTAAAGCCTCAGTTTTACATTAATTTTCACCTTACTTTACAAAAGCTAAATGGTAATGTCGTGTCTTTTGTATATCTCCAGTGTAAAATATCCTTAGAGGGAGAGTTGACATACTTTTGTCGTAGTTAAAAAAAGGTCTATTAAAAAAATAAGGTTTATTATGCAAGGACCGTGTGCTTGTGGACAACCATGTAACCTGTGTCTCAGTTTCCTCATCTGTAAAATGGATGTAATGCTCCTACAACTCACAAGGGATGGCAAGGTTTGAGTAGCATATATGATTGCCTCATAAAAATGCAACTAGTAGCACTGCGTGTTTTTATTAACAACTATCAGTAGAACATGAAGAAGAAACATTTAGCAGGATAATGCTGCAACCAGGATAAGCCCTCTCCATTTTTTGACCATCACATCATCTATTTTCAGACTCTGCCACAAAATAGTATATGTTTGAAATAAAACTATACTTATATTGTAACACCATAGAAACCAAAGGATTTGATGTAGGGGTTAACATAGAGGCAAAACACTTGTTTTTAAAGGAAAAAGCCCATAAATACAATTAAATGCCTTGAGCAAATTTGAATTTTGCTTAGAAAAATTTCATGAGAAAAAATCTATTCCACTTTGCAGAATCCAATATATTAAAAATATACAAAACTGTTCCCAGGTCAGCCTAAAAGTGGGAAGTGCTTTATTTGTGTGAGTAAACATTGGCCAGGAAAAAGACTGCATTTTGAAATATGCTATGGAAAATAAATTCTCCTGCAATTATTCTTTTTTTCTTCTCTCTGTTTTTTTCCTCTCTCTCTTTCTTCTCTCTCTTCCCGTCTCTCTCTCCCTCTCCCTCCTGAAAATCTCCTGCCACAGCGACTGCATTTGCCTCCAGACTTGTCAGACACAGTGAGCCGCACAAGCAAACAGGATCTGGCAGAATCCGCCAAACTGCTGAGCTCAGGATGTGGTGCTATGGCCATCGGCAAGAAGCACCTGGACTTCTAGTGATTTCTACTTAACAGTTTCACTCAGTTTTATATGACACTCTAATTATGAGTGTTAATGACTTATATAAATATTTTTCTTAATGATTTGACCCAGCAGTCTTTAAAAATACGTGTTACCATATGGTGCCCTTTTTTTGTTTTGTTTTGTTCTGGTTTCTTTGTACTAATTTTGGGCTTGTTTGGATTTTGCTTTTTGTTAAAGCTTCTGTTATGTTGGGTCCTGCCATTGTTCTGCTCGACTGGAAACATGCAGGATTTTGTTCCTTTCCTTAAAATATGAAAATTACTCTTACCCTTTCATTTCTAGATGGTTTTTTACAATAAATATGAAGGGATATTTTTCCCAATGGAATTTTTATATACTTACGTTTAATATTTTGTATGAATAATAAGTTGGATGGTTTATTGAAATAAAGGAATGAAACTAAGCAGTTTGTTGTCATGTGTTATTCCAAAAGCAAACTACACAATATGTTTTTAAAGCATTAATTTTTATAATTGAAATACCATTCTTAAATTTCAGGAAATGGTTACATTAGTTTATTAAATACGTAATAATACATTTAAAATACATAAGCTAGTTTTTGTTCTAATATGTGAGTAATTAAGAGTGGTTGTTTTTTGAATCAGAATATATTATAGATAATTACTTTGCCTTATGACTTGCTACATGCATTAAAATGCACTTGAATGGAATTTACTAACCATAGAGGAAAGAATTTATTTCCTTATGTAGTTCAAAACAGTAATCCTAAACAATTGAAGTCAGCAGTATGAAATTATGTCAACAGACATAATTCAAGATTGAAATTCAAACCGACAGCTACATTAATGCTAGAAAGCCAGAAGAGTGCGTTTGAGCTCGGGGAAGGGTATCACAGCATGCTGGTCTAAAGCAGGGCAGAATATATAAGTAATTCAGGCTTCTGTACCCTCAGATACACATTTTGTGAACTTGTAACTATTTCGTATGTATCTCTGTGTATATCTCAACAAACAAAAGAACAGTAAAGCAAAGCTGACCTGTAAATTAAAGTGGTTTGCATTCTTTCTTCTGAGGCTGACTTCCATTTTGAAAGGTAATATCTTCTTCTCCACAGAACTTCCAAGCCACCCAGCTGTAAGATTGCATTACAGTTTCAAAATTTAGTCTTCTTAATAGTATATTACATGGCTGGACTGAAATCGACTCTTCGAAGAACATGTTAATAGGATGCAATAATGGTAACTTATTTTGATGGGTTTGGAACCAAGAGTTGGTTAAGTGGTTTGCATTTTTTTTCTGCAATCCAGGTTCTACTTTATTTTTTTTCCTGACAACGCTGTGTAAAACAAAGACCTAGCTTTTAAAACTGTCTAACTAATATGATGAATGTCAATCACTTAAAAAACTCCACTGTAGCATAAACACATACTGTATACAGCTTTTATTCTGAATTAGAATAATTGAATCAATGACAGTGATTTGCCAGGATGTCAAATCTATCCATCATATCCTGTCACTACCAGTTTATTTTTTGTGATCAAAATCAAAAAGACTACTATTTTGTCATCAGCTATTTCATTAGTAGTAACAATCAGGTTTTCTCTTCTATATTTTTTAGCTATGCCTGTTATATTTCTTATTTCTAAAGACACAAATCCTTTTAAACTCTTTTCAAAATAAAGTTTCAGAACCGAACTGTCAGTTTAATAAAGCAAAAAGACATCTACTTTCCTATGCCAATATATTTAAAACAGTATCATTGATGTCTCAAACATTTTTTCTCTTTTTGTATTAGGTGTAACATTGAATGGAAGTTCTCATTAGATACTTAATTGTGCCTTTTGAAAGCATGAAATAATTTAAATACTTAGGATAAAGTGATTTTTAACAAAGGTGAAGTTTTACATAGTGCGTCTTTTTAATGTAAATAGCACAAAACACAGTATTTCTTTGTGAAATATAAAGTCACAAGACATATAAATTGCTGCCAACACACTTAAATAGGTCATTGACTTAACATACAGGGGAGGAAATACCATTAAAGTCACAGTCAATTTCTAGTTAACTTATTAACTGAAAGTTGTTAGCAAGTAGCGTGTGTTCCACGTATGTATATGTGTTTCCTGTGCATTTATAAGACTTCAGTTTCAAAAACTTCAGTAGGTTAATATTAAAGCTAACAAATAGTTTTAATAATAAAGGGAACTCCTTCTGCAAATCTGGATTTCTTTTTTTTCTGAGTCACTAAACATGCTTTGTAAAATAAGTGTTAAGAGTATACGCTGTACACTGCTGTTCACCTGAGGCAAAAACATGGAGCAAAAAATCTTTTCTTCCAAAATATTGTATCAGTTACAACAACATATGACAGTGACTTGGCTTATCCAGTAAACTGGTAAGTGAAATAATGCTATGCATGTGCTACCTGATAGTATGTAAATATATAATCGATACAGTGTAGATATCATTTACTGCACCGAAAGCAATTTTGACTTGGGAAGCAGGAGAAGGGTTTACGTGGTGATTTTTGGTGAATTTTCCCCATAACCACTCTATGACTGTCAGGCTCCTGTGTACAAAGCATCCTTCGGTTCTTTCTTCTCTTGATTTGAAGACAAATATTTAAGTAAGGGGTACAGCTCAGGTAATTGAAGACTGGGGTGCGGCCTCTTTTGACAGGCCGTTGCAATGTGCTACCAGCTTCTCTTTGCATCTTCAGAGCCCCCTTGTTGGCTTGGATGGAAAATCTGTGTGATCCTTACTTGTGCTCAGAGCTCTTTTCCACAGAGATTGCAGTATGGGGGTTTTTTGTTTGTTGCAATTTTTTAAGCAGAACTTCCTACTTTTTAGCAGGCTACAAACTGAAACCACAAAACTCACCTGGGAAACAATAGATTCATCCCAGTGAAGATGTTCCCAATTCAGCACGAGAACCTGATCTTTACAGAATTGTGACACGCAGTCAAGAAAGCAGTAATGAAATTTAAAACATTGTGTCTTTAATATGTCAAATAAGAATTCTTCATACAATTTCTGTTGTGCTGAGGTTTTCAAAATACAAGTATTTGGAACATGAGATTAATATTGTGATAGATGAAGTCTTTTTCTATGTTTGTAAAGAAATTTCAAAAGTGATTTCAAGGATGCAGCTGAATTCAAATCTCTGTAACAGTAGCTACAAGCGTCTGAAGAAGGGCATTCAGCTGCTTCAGATTTGATACATATGATAGTGCACCACCGGTTTTGTCTTTAAATTTAATGTAAAATTCTGACGTTCCAAAAACGGCTTTTAGAAAAGCGCCAAAGTCCAACTTACAAAAATCCTTTACTATGCCAATATTGGCAAGTGAGCTATTAATCAAGTTTTTCTGAAACCACAAGGTTGTAACACATCCCTTTAAAAATGTGCATAGATTGCAAGTATTACACACATGAACACATACACATGCACACGTATTAAACCGGTATTTCCCCAGGATCATATATTAGAAATTTATTAAAGCGTTCTTCTTCTTTGCCTGTGCTGGAGAAACGTCATCCATAACTACAGAGCACAACAGAAATAGGAAGGAAGATGCTTTTATGCCTTTAAGAGGGGATGGAAGCAGGTACTATCTCCCATGACATCTCTCAGGGGTTTTTCTTTCCTCTTGTGAGCTACCTGAGTGCAAGGCCTACATTTCTTTTTTTAATCACTTTGGGCACATGATGGTGCTTATTCAATAATAAATGTACCTGCGTAGAAAAAGAATGAAAGTGAATCTTCTTCCTTTTAAGAACAAAAGGCAACTCAAATGGAGAAAAGAAAAAGAAAAAAACAGAAAACAAAAATTCCACTTTTTTTTTCTTTTCTAGTCTAATATAAGCAGATGTTAGGCTCTTTTTTTTTGGTTTGGTTTTTTTTTCCAAAAGTGGTTCATTAATATAGTGGATGTCTATATGTGTATTTCAGCATCTGAATGGACAGACAGATTTTTCAGGAGTGTTGAGCATCAAGCATCCTGGAGCATCTGCTGAAAACTTGGCTGCTTATTCAAACTCTGCCTTTAAACAATTTTGAAAGTTATTAGGCACATCAAACTAAACTGTAGAACTTCTGTTTGTATCAAAAATGAAGGCATCTTTTGTGCCTTCTATATTTTTTTGCACATGGATTTTCTGGTGCTGTAGAGCTTTATCTAAAAAATCTTCCAGAGAAGTCAGTCATGATTTAGACCAGGAGCAAGCTGGTAGGATTAGGTCCAGTGGATCTTTTTTAAAAAGTTAGCAGATCTAGAGAATTTGTCACTGCATATTCCTCTATTTAAAACAAACAAACAAAAAAGTCTTTTAGTGTCTTCTGGCATTGAAAGTAAATGTTAAATCCAAAATGTAGCAATAATCCAAAAAAAATTCTTCACTCTATGCTAGCAGAGTTTGATTCTGAACATTTCATGCCCTCAGAATGCTCCCAGCACTTATGGCATCAGAGGCATACTCTTAAAAAGTCTTGAGAAAGGCAAATTTTGGTGCACTTTCAGCTACATTTTTGGAGTCAGGTTGGAGCAAACTACACTAAAGAAAGCTCTTGCTCAAATGTCATGGGCTAGACTTACAGAACAGAAACGAGGTCTGGTTTGGCTTTAGATACAAAATCAAGCAGTTTTCAGTGCCAGTATTTCGGGAAAGCATATTGTGTGGAGCACAAGCTGTAAACTTGTTTAAAATATGTTGCTTGAGTGAGACTTTTCTGCAGTTCCTAGTATGTATTTATTTATATTATTGAAGTATCTCGGAGCTACTACTCGTAGACCAGGACCGTTTTGTGCAGGGCGTCATTCTTGGCCTGGGACTTGCACCGCTGCACAACAAATTTGCCTTCCTGACCTATTTTAAATCAATAGGACATGGATCATTCTAGCAAGACTTGATGCCAGTTCTAGCCCCATCATCTTCAGCTAGCAACCGTAGCTGGAAATGGCAGCTCCAGCACTTGATTCCTGACCAGGGAAGTTTTAATGGGTCCATTTTCC